AGCCCATTCACGAGAATGTACCCGTCCTTTATATTATTTTATTTGTCGTGAGAGTACCGTTTCCCAGATACGTCACAATATATTCTTTCAAAGAGTTAACAAGTTACGTTTCTGAAGATTGTGCCCCATCCATCGTGCTAATGTGGCTCGTGTCGGCAACTGGACGAACTTTTCCAATATATTTTGTCTCTCGCACTTATCCCTATATCAGAAGAAGACAGCCTGATTACATGTAAATGGCGCCGACGCTGTGGCCCGCAGAATTGTACGACGAACTTCTGATCCACTCTCACAGGACTTACCGGGAAACGAATAGAAATGCAGGTAAGGATTTTGGTTCAAGATAACTGGTGTGATGAGAATGCTCACCATGCCATAATACACAAGCCCATGCCTCGTACGTGATTCGAACCTATTGTTTGGATGTAACTTGTACACGGACGGGAGTGTCCCAGCACCGTGCGCCACCCATGCAGAATTCAAACTCGCGACCCTTCGAACCGACAGTGCTAATGTGCGCCCGTCTAAGAAATCTGCGATCTCCCCTAAGCAGGAGATAGGCATATAATAAATACAGGTCTTAGACTCAATATTACAAACTTCTACGTCTTGTAGGTGGCCGAAGATGATTACCTTTTGAACATAAAGGTGGGAGATGAGGTGAAATTTGGAACATGAAGTAATGAGCATCTGGTTGAAAAATCATATATTCTGTTACACATGAGACTTGTTTAAGCTTTTTTATTTTGATTGCGTCGGAATGTCCACCTGCCAAATACGTGTTCATGATGGGTTGACTACCAATAAAGGGTAAATGAGGCAAGAAACTTGATTTTCCCACCACACACTCATTGACCAAAGATATCATCTTCGACTTTCCCACGGAACCCACATCTTCATAGAAGTTGGTCACATTTGTTCTGATACATCGACAAATATTGCGCGAAAGGAAGGCCTACCTGGAAGATCTCGACGTCCAGAAAGGTCCACTCCCCGTCCGTCATGCCCATGTGGTAGGCCGTGATCATGAACTTCCTCACCAGCGGCGCGCGGACGCTCAGGATGAGCACTGTGCAGGCAGGCGGCGGCTCGTCGGACTCGGGGCGCTGGGGGCGGCAGCGGACGGGGACGGGATCGAGGACGAGGAGCGGGGCGTGGGCGGCGGCGAGGGGGAGCGCGGCGGCGGGCGCAGAGTGGGCTCGAGGCGGGGATGGGACTGCGCCGATGCATGGGGAGCGGGGTCAGGGAAAGCTCGGGAAAGCGGCCGCAACGCGCTCGGGTCCAGGCGCAGAGGAACGCAAAGGCTGCACCTGCTCACGCGTACAGGTTAGGAGCCTGCGCCAGCGGCAGGTCCTCGTCGGCGGGAGAACGAAGGAGGGCGTGGCACGCCAAGAAAGAGGAAAGAGGTTGCTAGGAACTGGAATACGACAAAGGAGAGGGCATACCCTGAAGGACGAAGGCATGAGATGAAGGTGGCCAGGAGGGCATATGGTTACAAGGAGCGATGGAGGCCACGATTTCAGTGAAAGAGGAATACGTGACGGACGAGGAAAAAGGGAAGTGTTTGTTCGAAGGAATGAAGGCAGTGAAAGGGAAGAAGTAGCGAAAAAATAAGGTTAGTGACTAATGAGAGAAAGGCGAATGGGATGAAAACAAGTTGAGAGTAGCGTTGAAAGTGAATAGCAAGAGGCGAGATTGCGGAAGCATACAAGCAGCGACAAATCTAATATTGTACCTTCCGGAGGTGAGTGGCAAGACCAGGTGATGGTGAGAATAATGAAGTGGGCAAAGAGGTGGGAGAGGTGTTGCAAATAAGCGACTGGAAATACCAGAGGCAGCATTGTCAAGAAATCGATGGCTAGGAACGCTGAGACGAAGATGGGTTGCGAGGGTCTAAAGATGACGTGAGTAATGAGAAGTAAGGAACATAAGGGAATCAAGGAGAAAACGAGAGGAAGCGAGGAAGAGGAGGAGTAATTTGGGGCTAAGGTTGGGGAGTAAGGGGGAAGGCATGAAAGCAAACAGAGAAAAGTCGTGAGGAGAAGTGTGTAAATGGGTGAGACCAAAAAGTCCTGAGGATTAAAAGTCCGAGGAATGTCGCAAAGCTAGGAAAGAATGGGAACGGGTTACGTGGCGAGCTCAGGGGCGAGTGATCTAAAACAAGGATATAAATGTGAGATAATGAAGAAAAGTCATGAGGGAAGGTGTACAAAAGAGAAACAAAAGTCCGGAAGATGAAGATGTCAAGGAGAGACGTCAAGGAAAGACTTCACTGTGGTGAGAGAACCGTTATGTGTTAGGAATCCAATGAACAAGGAGGGAATCGCGAAACAAAAGATGCCGAGACACGTCACGAGGGAGGTCGACACAGCGCGAGATGGCCGTTTCGGGTTGGAGTGATCAAAGACTAAATCGGGAAGGTGATGATTCTGACGGCTGTCGTGAAGGAAAGAAGGCAGAAAGTTGTGGGTTAGCGGTCGAGTGATCAAGGTCGAAATCGTAAAAAGAAAGATGCCGAGAAATGTCATGAGGGAGTTCGACACGGCCGATGGCCGTTTCGGGTTGGAGTGGCGAGAAACCTAAGACTAAATCGGGGAGGGGATGACACTGAGGACAGTCGCGCAGGCAAGAATAATGATAGGAGGCGAAACAAAAAAGTCGTGAAGGTAAAGACACCTTTGAAATTTGCTAGAGGAGAGGAAGAGAGCGATAGTGCGTGGCAGAGCGTCAGTGTTGCGCACATCAGAGCGAATGTCACGATCGGAAGAGGGGGATGGGGGAGCTGAAGGGGGCGGGCTATGGAGGGGGATCCACGCACATCGCAGCGTGACATGCTCGGGCGTCGCGCAGGTAGTGCTCGAGGGGGTGCCCGTGGTCCGCTGCCGAGTCCAGCTCGCGCACGAACGCCAGCACCGTGCGCAGGCCCTGCTCCAGGTTTCTTGCTGCGACAGTCAGCCGGCGCGCGCCTGCCCCATTCAAAAGCAAAGCGCCCGCCGCCGCACGGCCCGCGCTCCACGCACCGCGCGACGCCGCGCCATGGGGGGGGGGGGGGGCGCCCGGCCACGGCCGGGCCACGCCGCGCCACGCCGCGCCACGCCACGCCGCGCCACGCCACGCCACGCCACGTGACGCCTTGCGACACTTCACAGCTGCGCACGGTGCTCCACATGGCTTCAAAAACTAGCCGCTCAAACGGACACTCATTAGACGAGTAATCGAGTAGACGAGTAATTGGTATATACATGCCGCACTAGCAAAACTAGAAGAAGTATAGGTGGCAACTATACTATAAGGTACTGGAGCCAGATTTTGTTTGCGTTCCTGTATGGTCACCGCTTTATGACGCCACGCCACGTGACGTGACGCCGCACCACACCTTTTCGGCACCTCGTTGAGGAGCACGGCGCTTCACAGGGCTTGCAACATTAGCAGCTCCTGCCGTTCAAACGGTAACTTATGAGACAAGTATCGTGTAATTCGCTTTTACTTGCCTTAGTAAAACTTGAAAGGAAAGCAGAGGTGGAACGACGTCATTGTTTGTGGCGTACCAGCCTGAGGAATGGCAGACAGCATTGTGAGTCGAGAGATACAACGGCACCCACGGGCGCAACATTGTTGCGTTAGTGTTGGCTATGCGCCAATTCAAGGACATACATAGCACTCCATAACGCTTCAAAAAAGTAGCTGCTCCTGTTCATCAAACGATACAGATCAAACGATTTTAGGCGGAGGTATCTGCCGCCCTACCAAAACTAAAGGGGGTAACTGAGGTTGAAACGTCATGGACTTTGGCGTAGCAACCTGAGAAATGGTTGACAGCATTGAGAGCAGGAAGATACAGCGGTACACGCTGGAGCCAGATATTGTTTGCGTTTTTATAGAGTATAGTCACCGCTTCACGCCACCACACCATAGTTTTTCTAATTTCTAAATTTTGCAATTTTCTAAAGTTTAAAATTAACCGTGCAAATCGGACCGCGTCACCTCTATGTGTATTTTACTCTGTTTTTACAAGAATTTAACGAAAAAAATTGCGGCCATTTTTGAGAAAATTTTCAAAATACAATACTACCAAATTTTGAAGAAAGTTTTTCAAAATTTCAGTGCCTCGTGTCGAGCCTGATTGATTAGCGAATGTCAATATGCAAATAATACTAAATATGATTTAGGCGCTACTGGTGTTCACAGACGGTCAGACGGACGGACAGACATTTTGTAAAAAATTCTTTTTTTGGTATCAGGGGACTCCAAAACGTGTATTTACGTTGAAATCTCTAAATCGATTTTCCGCAGCATTACATAACTTTCCCGATACTGCGTGTATTACTCCGTATACACGTATACTGGCCAGTAAAAAGTATTTTCACCGTATAACTTCTTCAATAGCTTTAAAAAACCTATGCCTGCGAAAGATTTTCCATAAGAACATGTACTAATTTAAACATATTAAATTCAAAAATTAGACCAGTGGGGACCAATTTATTTCTTACCATCTTAAAGAACAAAGATTTTACATTTATTTAAAGCACTTTTTCGGGATATTTGACCGTTGTCGGGGCCACCTATCGAACATACTACTTTACGTTGTGGGGATCACTTAAGTGTGGGGAACCGCCCGCAAACGCTGGCCGTGCCGGGCCTCTCGCACGTGCGCACGCACCCACTGTGAGGGAGAAGAGGTCGGAGCGGTCCAGGATGAGCGCCACGTGTCGCCAGCCGAACTGCTCGAAGATGCTGTTGAAGACGAGCTTGAGGCGGCAGGGGCAGTACGACATCCGCGTCAGCGTCGGGTAGTTGGACTTGTCTTTGAAGATGCCCTGCGCAGCGCATGATATAAGGACTCTGTCAAACAATGTTAGGCAAACGTTTTAATTCGTACATTCGATTTATTTACTCAGAGAACAGTAAAACTGTATGTGATATATGGGAAAGAAGTAACATCTGCGCACGTTTTCTTGAGTTCCAGAATCTCTTCACAACATGTCCAGTATAAATATTTGAAAGATGAATAAGAGTTTCAAAAAAGTGAAGTCAGCAAATGTTGAAAACGATACATTTCTCCTCCCGAGATATAGAAAATTCAAGTGCATCGGTAAACTAAATACAGATTTGATATTTTTGTATGGTTAAGAAAACAGTAATCCATAGCCGCGACTCTACAGCTACCACTATTAGCAAAATCAGAGCTCAACAAAACTTGCGTGTAGTGAAGTTACATTTATGTTAATTTTCTTTTCTGTTGTCGCACATGGAAACTACTTCTTGCAATTTCGGCATATTGATGGGAGATTACGATAATAATTGTGGTAAAGTAGCATATCGCGAGATACGTGGCGAAAACACAATAGTCCTAGCCATTAAACCTCCCAAAAAGCAGATTTCCTGTTAAAACTTCTTCGCGGATTAGCGGATTTTGAAATTAGGTACGCAGAAATGGAAATGTAGCGTCCTCACTGCTTTGCTATTTGTCGGCTTTGACATATGAGGGTCGGTCAAATGAAAACGAGACAACTTTATAAAGATTTTCGTGAAGACGGCTTTATAACGAGCATGGCACGTTCGTAACGCCGATAGGTGTATACAAGTGCCCTCTATAGGGAATCAGGAAAAAACAGCGTGAATGTTCACCGCTCAGCCATTGATCTGTTTGACGTGCTCGAAGAGATATTAGCGATTCCGTGCGCATGTGTAATGCATTTCGTGACGGCGCAAGGAGAGTCAGAAATAAAAATGCATGTCGGAATGTCTTTTGTGTGTTGTGAAGTACAGTATGTCACGTACACAGTATGTCACGTGCACAGTATATCACGTGCACAGTATGTCACGTGCACAGTATGTCACGTGCACAGTATGTCACGTGCACAGTATGTCACGTACACAGTATGTCACGTGCACAGTATGTCACGTGCACAGTATATCACGTGCACAGTATGTCACGTGCGCAGTATGTCACGTGCACAGTATGTCACGTGCACAGTATGTCACGTGCGCGTGCGGTTGAGTGAACCGATTTTTATGAGGTCGAATGTCATTAGAAGACAGTCGGCCAGGACAGGCACGTTGTGTCATTACCCCTTCTGTCACTGTTGTGGTGGACGCCGCCGTCAGAAGTGACCGGTGATGGCGGACGGTGGAAGACATTCGGCTCATGTTGAGCATTAGCGACGGTGGCACTCACGCCACCTTGACAGAGCATCTGTCGTTGAACATCTGACGTTGAGCATCCGACGTTGAGAATCTGCCGTTGAGCATCTGCCGTTGTGCATCTGAGAGCATCTAAGAAATAATCTGACGTTACATCCACCTTGACAGAAAATCTGTGCTTAGTGGTTCCCCATAGCTTGGCGGAGGAGTAGAAGTTGAACAGACGAACAATGACATCATCACTGCAGCACCTGGAATAGTATCAATTTTAAGAATATCGTTTCCATTACCGTTGATTGGCTTTGGACGAAGGGCTGCACGCAGGGTACAGTCATTGCTCAATAGGCAACTGTAAACCTTTGTCTCTAAGTCATTGATTATCTTGTCCCACAAAGAGATACATTTATATACAGTTATGGCGATTACTTTTGAAATAATAAACAGCATTGTTAATTTGTCCCATCTGTTCCGTTTTCATTTGACTGACCCTCATATTTAATGAATGGTGAATGAGTACATGATATGATTGATAATAACTGGTAATGAACAGTTGGTGAAATTTATGAATCCAGTGCCAGCTGGGGATGATGGATTTTCCAAAGGCGGAGAGCCACCAAGGTGCGATCTGAATGAAAAAGAACCCTTTCTACTTTCCCAACAAAAAGAAAACCCGCGACAAAACACATTCAAACAAATGGAGAAAACACATGAAAACAAAAAAACATTCCCGGCATAATTAGATTTCATTTCCGGTGAGCCGCGAATAGATGCAAATAACGGTAAATACTTTGGCTGCTGTGGTACCGATGCCCGGCAACGTATTTGGTAGTAAAAATGTTGGTAGATTTATGTAGTGCCAAATTCGAGAATACTCCTAAATATGTTCCATTACTGGGGTAGTTTCATGCACAAGTTTCTGGAGCCGGACATTTGACAATGAAATGAACCGAAATGAGCGAGAAAGCAATGTGACGAAGCAGGGTGCAGAAAGAGGTGAGAAATACCCATCGCCTTCGCAATGCCTGAAAAGGGAATTGTCTGTCGTGTTGAATAAACCCAACTTGAAATTTTGCGATGTATCTTTAAATCACACTCGGTTCATATACAACATTTTATTTGCTGAAACTAATTTGAAGTTCCTCTAAAAATAATGAATATCGGGAATATTTCAAGTGACGCCAACTGTGAGGAATTAAACAAGCGTGAAAGGGTTTCCCAGCCCTCCGTATGCGCGTGGGTACCAGCTGAACACGTGCAATACAATATGTATGTATTGCAATACAAACGGAAATTGCAAGCACGAAAACAAAAGCTTTGCACATGAACGTTGTGTCACGCTAAACGTACAGGTATTGCAGACAAGTAATTTTAACGGTTATATAATATTTTAATATTTTATAAACGTTTATTCTACGACAACATCACATTGCGTTTCAAAACGTTTGAGACGACTGACGTTTCGAAAAAATAACAACAAATTTTGGCATCAAAGACCTTCGTACATTTTGAGTTACTGAGTAAACGAGAAAGTAATAAATTTCTTTTCTAGCAAGAAAAATCCGTTTCGTCGGTATCAGAGGTACAAAAATGTGTTTATGTGTCAAAATAATCACACGTTTTCGTGAACCAATAAATAGTGCGCCAGAAAAGTCTTCCTCACCGAGCCGAGTCAGAAACTCATATTAAAAATTGAATTTATGTTGGTAGCAACCAGATCACTTGGAAACACGATGAGACGACAACACTAACCGCATCTGTTATGATTGTGGTGAGTACACTATTTACGTTTTCGTTGTTAGCATTTGAAGCTCGTGCTACCAACATTATTTCTGTTATAAGCTCTCTCAGTAGGAAAGTACCACTTCGGATAGACTTTCCACCCGCGATGTATGTGTATAGGGACAGACAATTCCCTCTTGCGTGCATTGAGGCTGGGTCTCGGGCGCGCTGAGCAGCTGTCGCCGCGCTCGCTCACCGTGGCGTTGGTCCCCTCCTGCAGGCGGCCCAGGAAGCCCGGCGTCACCGACAGCACCTCCTCTGACGGCGGCTGCGGGCAGAGCAACGCCTTTCACGACCACTCCCATTCGCCATTCGCAGCACGGCCCACTCTTGTGGCATCCGAGCAAGTGGTACCATGATTCGCCACTATGTGCGCTGCCGTCGTCACGAGCGGCGCGGAATAGTTCAGACGAACGTTATCATGAGCGCCAGCAGCGGCGCCGCCCATCGCCTCCAAGGACGAGTCAGCTAGCCTCTCCGCTGCGGTCGTCTGAGCAGAGCCTACAGCCCAGCTACCCCTCCGCCTCCGAGCGGGGAAGAAGCGTACCCCTTCGCCGTGGGCAAGCGGAGCGCCGCGCCACGTCATGCAGGCAAGTTTGGAAGTCAAGTACGTGTAAACGTAGTTTACCTCCCTTTCTGGATATTACTTCATTACGCTGCGCTATTTGATTAGACTTACGGCTACTGGAATTACTCCGCTTACGCTGACTGGATTGTCGCACTTTTTTTTTTTTTTTGGAGAACGAGACTAGGCATTGGATTTTGGGTTTCGGAAATAAATTGTTGTTCTAATTTGAAATTGTTACATACTTATTTAGCATGCAACATTCACCTCCTTTCACAGCTCCATTCTATTCGATCTCGATACCCTCTTGCAAAACAATAATTTTCGCCCTTCAACCGCCCGCCCTCCAGTGTGACTTGTCGTCCCATCAACCCTTATCTTTTATCCGGGAAGAAAGTTTCTCATTCCGCCCTATCCTCCTGTCCTCTCCACGCTCGGTATCTCGTCATTAACATGAACTTTCTTCCCCCTTTATGCTGACCGATTTCGTCGTTCCCCCGACAGCACCTCCTCCGAAAACGGATGATGGTTGAGCAATGGTCTTTCACGGCGACGGCGTATACGCAGCAGGCTTTCCCGTTGCTCAAGGACTGGTGACCACCCTCCCCCTTTTCTCTGTCTATTCCATCTCTATTCTCTTCCTCTGTAGACTCTTCTCATGCAACATCTCCAACCTATCCGCCTATTAGACATATCCATCTGCCCCTTCCACATCTAAACTGCCTACCCGTCGCACTTTCTCCTTTCCCAGCCATCTCCAGCCTCTCTATCGCCGCCATTCACTCCGTCCTACCCGACGTTTTCGTTTCTTGTCTTTCTTTCTCTTCTATAACACTTTACCCTTTCTGTTGACCAAATTTAGTGGCACTTTCTACCCTCTCCGGTTCCTTTTTACCCACATTCAACGGTTTGTCCATCCTGTTCCGACATACCACCCTCTTGGTTCTCACCCGCCCTCGCAACTCTGACCCAACGCTCCACCCTCTCAGCCACTACGATGGCTTCGAGGTTAACAGCGTTGAACTTCCATTCCTGTGGAAACGGTCGGCGAGATGCAACGGTACTAGTCATTATGAGCTAGTGTAGATGACGAGGTAAAGATGTTGTGACGCACTGGGTCGCCCATGTCTGTGATATGTGTTGACAGGGAGACAGGGTACTAGACAGTATGGACTAGGGCGGGGCAGGAGGTAAAGGTGTGACGCGCGTGGCCGCCCATGCCGGTTATAAGAGTCGACGAGGAGGAAACAGTACTAGAAAGGATGTACTAGGGTGGATGATGAGGTAAGAGACCTGTGCCGTATCGGATCGCTATACCTAAGATAACAGTCGATGGGGAGGCTGAGGTATTAGACAGTATATGAACTATAGTAAAGAAGAAGGTAAATGTGTTGTGATGCACATGGTCGCCCAGGCCTGTGATAAAGAGGCGATGGGGAGGCAACTGCACTAGATAGTAAGGACTAGATTGGAGGTTAAGTTAAGGTTCTGTGACGTTCTGGTCTTCCATGCCATAATGACAGTGATATGTCGACGGGGAGGCTACGGCACTAGGCAATAGGGACTAGGGCGTTGATGAGGCAAGGGTGTTGTGACGCACCTGGTCGCCCATGCCGGTGATGATGGGCGTGTTCCAGTAGGCGGCGAGGCGCGCCACGGGCTCCAGGGCGAAGGCGCAGGCGGGGCCGATGAACGCCACGACGTTGTCTTTGAAGTGCATGTCGGCCGCCAGTCCCGGCGCCGTCACACCCGAACACGTCGGATAGCTACGCAAAGCACCACACCACTATTACCAACCACAGCCGTGTTCACGTTACCACACACCAATCGTGTTTGAGCTTCACCTCGCGACAGAAAATGTCCCCGCTCCCCAGCTGCTCTAACGTGAGAAAGTGTCCGCTACTCTACCCTGACACGTGCTCACTTCATGCGCGATTAATTGAAATGCAATTTTGCTATTCCCTCCCCATTTGTTTGCGTGTGTTGTTGGTCACATTGGGTGATTACATCGGAGAGACGACTGTCATCATCTGTCGCGGCGGCGTTACTAGTGGCACTCAAGTACTTGATTATTGGTACGTGATATGTACAAGTCATAGCAAAACTCAATGGGTAATTTTGGTTTTTGATTTAAAGTAATCATGTCAGATTAAATAAAAAATTTAATATAACAAATAATTTTGCAGTTTGTTGCGTATCATTTATGTATATCATAATGAATTGTTATACAAAATAAATTTCATTGATAACAACCATTTAATTTTATTGCGACTAGTGACAAAATAAAAGATATCGCCTGAATTCCTCAGCTGTCCCATACGTCATATTCAATTACTCATTATTTCTTAACATAAGCACCATGTGGTGGAAAGACCTCTTTGCCTCCGACACCGGAGAGCGCCACCAGTTATTTTTACTTTACAAATGTTGTTGTTGCACCATTCCAACGCATCTCTAAGCCCCTTTTGGGGAATTGAGCGCATGGAGTAATCCTCCTCTAATCTAGTCACTCATCTTCAGTCGAAGTCAGTCATTGCCTTAATCCCTTCGACCAGGAGCTCGTCGCCTGGTCCTCGGCAAGTCGCGAATTGCTCGTGACTTCATGAAGCGCAGTTAAGGAATTCGGCAAGCGACGCCGACTTTCTTGCCCTTAGCTAGAAAGAAGATAGAGTATTGTAATGTTGCGCCGGAAAACGGCAAATTTTGGACAGAAAACTATTATTAACAGGCCCGGGAAACGAAAAAAGTGGATAAATCTTCCTATAAATTGTAAACTACTTCCTCTAGCACGTTGTATACTCAGAATCCGTGTTTTGTGAGTTCTTGATATCGAAAAGTCCTTTGACAGCAAAACGTCTGTGGTCAAAGCTACCCTAAACCGTTCAGCTTCAAGGAAGATAGTAATTTTTCTTCAACAAAATCTCTTGTTAAAAGACATCTCGTTATAAGGTCAGGTACACGTTTCTGAAAATGAGACAGTCGGTTGGCGTAAAGGTGTGTGAAATATAGGCATTTTTTAATTTTTTTTCAAAAGAACTTCTGCAAGTTTTTCCTTCAAATTTTCTCTCCGTATCTATCAAAATACGGTAAAAAATTGGTATTTGTCTCATTTCCAACGAACTCTGTATTTTCGAAAATTGCAAAAAGGTACCATTTGAAAAATTGAAAACAATTACCTATTTAAGTGGACTAGATGCGAAAAACTGAACTATATTTGTTATCGAATGTCTTATTCATCAGCAACATATTGTTGTTGCCAAAATTTTCTAAAATGTAATAATGAATCGTGAAGCGAATTATCATTTTTTATCATTGAAAATCAAAAACAATCCTCAGTTTATTAGAAACATTTTAACAACACTAGAAATTTTAACTCAAAATCTTATTTATTGATAAAAATTCCATTTCTTTCAAATACTATTTTTCATTATTTTGTTAACAATGCAGCATTAATGATAGTAATAGCACTGTGCATTTAAGTTTTTTCTGTAATACGTATATTTTCCTCGTGCAGCATATCGGTTGCTCTTTTTTCATTGTTATGTATATGCAATTTTCAACTGTTAATTAGTTCACTTTTCATATGTTCACTTGTTTCAGTCGTTATTTAGATGATTTCCATCACATTGTCATCCATTACGTGATTCCACTGTATGAAAGATATTGCGGAAACACATCAACTCCGCCCACGCTGCAATTAATTATTGTCGTTTACGGCGCATTCAGGAAGCCAGAACTTCATTATCTCGCAATGTAATGTTAATGAGGTTTGTATTTACTTAAAAAATATTTTCAAATTAACGTTTTCCAAACATAAAGATGAACTCCGTTTAGTTTCTGCTGAAGAGTTATTTTTCGTTTTTAAAATAGAAGTATTATTATTATTATTATTATTATTATTATTATTATTATTATTATTATTATTATTATTATTATTTTATTATTATTATAGAGAGAGTTTTAACCTTAGATTGCAGCACGGATTAAATGAAACTATCTGTTTTTTTCTCGAACGTTCGTTGTCCCGTATGACCTTCTTATCGACTTCCCCAACAGCAACATTCTGGCCATTTCTTTCTTCGTACAGGAAGAAACATTAAAAAAATAGGAAGTTTTAGAAGTGATATATTTGTATAGTAGGATAGTAAGACAATGTAACGTATTTTTGCAGATTGATTAATATTATATACAATTTGCATTTAAAATAATTTCATTTTTTCAAATGTTCACATTTCACTCGTCAATCCTTATATAGTCGTATCTTTTTAACATTTAGTACGGTAATGACTTTTTTACTAGTTTGTTTAGATTATGAACACGCTCTGCAAAAGTTTAAACAGATTTGACGATATAAAAATATAATGAAAATTAATTTCATCGTTGAAAGGCGAAATAGTGAACACGCGAGAAACATTTTCTTTTTGATTCACCTTGTAGGGTGAAAGCGAGAAAAGATTTTAAACCGTTTGAAAATACTGTGGAGTTTGGTTTGAAGTCTGAACATTACTCTGCTTTTCATTCCCAGTTTCATGTTTGTGAAGGTCACAAGCGAACGAGCTGTGGAGCGCTGAAAAATCGTATTGCATGCCTGGTAAGAGGGAGGGGGCAGACGTTATGAGCGGACGAAGAGTCAAACGGTTTTTCGTATGAAATAGTTGTGGTGTTATTTTTTTCTTTTGAAATGATTTTGTAACGTTCACACTAAATTTCAAAAATGTATATATTTTTTCTTATTGTTGAAGTTACAATATTTGGAATCGCAGAATAATTTTAGCCGAATAGTGCCAAACATTGTATCTTGCCGCCGTTACGCGGTCGTGTACTTAGAATAATCTCACGTCGTTGAAATCTCAAATTTGCAAGTTGCAAAATGCAAATTTTTTGGGGGTCACCCAAACTACAATGTTGAATGTAGAGATTTCTCCTTAATAAAATCTGTTCCTTAAACCCATATCTTGAAATAATGTCATTTTCAATTTTTCGAATCTCTGAGTAGTTTTCATGCATTTTTGTGCAAAATATATGCAATTTTCATATTGATTTAACATCTTTTTCTCTAAAATGGCACCAATTTCTTTCTTTAAATGCGCTCTTCGTATGTATGAAGGGACGTCAAAAACATATGGTGTTAATCCCATTTTCGACGAACTCTGTATTTTTGAATATTGCAAGAAGTTAACATTTTAAAACTACAAAATTCAAAATAGTGATTTTTGCTTTAGATAAAGTTTGCTACAAACAAATCAGCTTTTAAAAAACGTCATGTACAGATTTTTGGTAAAACAAATAGATTTTGTGTAATTTGGGATTGAAATTATGTAAATGTAATAAAAAGACATTTTCTTGAAGATCTCTCCAAATTTTACTTCGCTTTTTTCGCGAATTGAAGAATGGACGCTTAAAAGAACGGCGTGGATCTCATTTTCGTTGAACTCTGAATTTGCGAAAATTACATATTTAGAAATAGTGGAGAAAGTATGTGCTGTTGAAGAGACACCCTTTTACTTCACTCGCCCCTTTGGGATATATATATATAAAAAATCGTGCAGAATGGATATTCTGCATGATTTCTAAGCATAATGTGCATACATGCAGAATGTTATACTCACATAATTCATTCATATATCAGGGAGCGTCAACTTCTAAGGTCGTGACTCCCATAAATGTAGTGCATGTTATTATCGCGGGAGGTGGAGGTAATGTTCCCTCGCAGGAGGGCAAGATCCGACGTCGACCTATCCGTCGACTTGACGGGTTTTTCTCCTAACCAGGTATCACCCACCTCCGAGACGCCGCACCCCAGTCGGGACAAGCACTAAACTCCCGACCTTTCTCCCGGCATGTGTAGTGGTATAGTGCATGTAAGTGTGTGTAAGTAAGGAGTGAGGATATGACACGGAAGAGGAAGGAAAGTTTACGCGCGGTCCATGGCCCGTTTGTTAGGGTAAAGCTCCGGCAATTCCCGGTGGTGCCCAGATCGAAGAAACCACGAATAACTACAAATCGGAGCAGCCGACCGCTAGAATTCTCCTCCGGGCAACGGTTGAATAACCGACCTAGTTATGTAGCTTGTGTCGAAAATCCTGCCACAGTTGGGACGCGAACCCCTAGGAACCGGTAGGGGTCACTGCTGTGTCATCGATTGATGCCCTGAGCCACCTGGGCCTGTCATCATTGGCTTCAAGTGATCTCACCTCCTAGTTATTGATGGCCATCTGAACAACACTGTTGCGGAGGAGTCCCTCGGCGTGGTACCTAGAGAGAAAAACCCGCAAGGCCACATGTTGGCCGAGGCCGAATCTCATGGTTCAGCGGGGTAGGAACACGGCCATTTCCGCGAATATAAAATGCATTGTGCTGACGGGGCTATGACCATAGCAGTTGCCACGCCCGAAATCAACTAGTCAACTACATTGATCGGTGTTTTCCGTAGTTCCTCTGATCACTTCCAGATGGCGAATGCCGGGCCAGTGCCCTATATTACTGGGCTGCTGACAGCGCATGATCTTGGTTTGCCATCCGTTTGCCACAATCCGGATGAGAATCAAATGGGGAAGTCTGTTTCGAACATTGATTTTTTTCATAAGTGATATATGCTAGTGGGGAATATATAGCAATATCGAGAATTGAATATGGCTCATAACAAAACGCAATTCTCTGGAGGGAAAGGAGGTTGAGGAGTGAAAAGGACCGCACAACCTGTGCCTCGCGCCTTCTGTTCAAGCGACTGGCCATTACATCTGAGGGGAAGTGCACTATAAACCTG